GGGGGGGGGGGGGGAGGGTTGGCCCGTGCTCGGGGCACGATGCCCGCCCCGCCCGGCCCCGCCCGCCCCACGGGCGATATAAGGCGGCGGCGGGTGCGGGCACAGCAGCTGCCGAGCGGAGCGGCCCCCGCAGCCCACAACAGCCCGGCCCCGCAGCCAAAAACCACCGCAGCGCTCACCACCTTCATCACAGCCGGCCCTGCAGCAGCGCCGCCGCCTCCGGGTAAGGGGGAGCGAGGGGATGCCCCGGGGAATGGGATGCGGGTGGGATGCGGGGTTGCGGTGATCCGCCTGGATCTCAACCCCCGCTCGGGGTCTGCTCTGCCCCCGGCACCGCGGCCAAGCGGTGGGTGCGTTTTCTTGCAGCGAACCTTCAGCAAAAAATCCGAAATCCTCCGCTAAAAATCAGCGCGGAGCTCGGGCTGCCCGGAGGGGAGGGCTCTGACACTGCAGCAGCTGGATTTAACTAATGCCCTTCTCTCTTCTCTTGTAGAACTGACACCTAAACCTGCTGTTGCAGAAAAAAAAAGAAAAAAAACCTCAAAAAATGGAAACCATGCATGAGCTGATCCCCTTCGCCAAAGAAATGCTGAGCCAGAAGCCCAACAGGAAGATGGTCAAGCTGTACATGCTGGGCAGCGTGCTGGCCTTCTTTGGGGTGGTCATCGGGCTGGTGGAGACCGTCTGCAGCCCCTTCAGCTCCGAGGGCAGGCTAGAGGACGAGGAGGAGGAGAAGAAGAAGAAACCTGCCCCGACAGGAGAGCAAAGGCTCCCCCAGAAACAGGAGGATTTGATCCTGGAAAAGAGCAAGAAGCCGGGGGCGGTGCAGAGGGCCCTGGTGACCAGACAGCACGCGTCCTAGGGCCCCGCCGAGCTGCCTGCTGAGCAACCGAGCACAGAGACTCTGCTGCCCCGTCCTCCCTGGTGGTGGTTCCAGCAACGAAGAGAGAAGGCTTGGCCGAAGGAGACTCGAGAAGAAGAGAAGGGTTTTATTTGCTGCTGTGCAGCAGTGGGAAAAAATACCTTTTGTTGGTATAAAACCTGTGCCAAGATGCACAGCATGGTTTCTTATTTTTATTACGGATGCATTTTACACCATTTTGCAAGATCAATAAATATTTTATATGGTACCCAGTGCTCTCTTGCTGCGTTTATTTTCTCTTTTGCTGGGTTTGTTCACTTCTGGCTGCTGTCAGGAGGTAGCTGGGGGGACCTAGAGAGTAGTGAAGGGGCTGTACTCTCTCTATAAAGCCCCCCAGTGAGGCTGCTCTGGGCCAAGGGGGTCAGTGTGTCTGTACTCCTGGCAGCTGCTCCCTTCCAAAATGGGCCAGCTGGGGAGGAGGTGGCATTTGTGTCACATGGCTGACAAACATGCCTCAAGCTGGAGGTGGGGTTGTACTTTAGGGGGTTATTTGGGTTCAGTGGCACAGATTCATGTCTCTGTCATGGCCATGGGTTACAAAACTGTTTAAAAATCAACCAAGGACCCCTGTCCTTGCCCTGGCAATCCTCCACCTGGCTATAGCTGCTGCATAGCAAAAAAACTTTAAAAATCTCTTCTACCTTTGCTGGGATCCTTCACAAACCCACCATAGACACGTAACTGTGCAGAGTAATATCGGGTTCCAGTATTACAGGGGTGTCAGAGGTGGAAAAATTGAAGCATGGAGGTGGCACAGGCAGTCTGGAGGGTGTGGAAACAGAGTTCCAAGCTTCAGGCTGTACCCAGGGGCACTGCCAAAATCATTAGAGGACTTTCACCCATTTAAAAAATCTTTCTGGGCTCAGCAAGAATCTGTTGCATTCAGGACTATGTCATGTTAGTCAAATAAAGCCCCCAGACAGACACAGCTGACTGATCCCGACCACACTTGGGAAGGGAAGGAGGGGAAACAGTCCCTGCCACTCACGGCCGGGGCAGAAAATCCCTCTTGGTCTGCTCAAAGAGACACACCAGCAGGGCAGAGGTAGGAGCCAGGCTACACACCTTGCACAGGGACTGGGAGACCTGTCAGGAATACGCTATTCTCT